ATGGTTATGTGGCTTGATCTGTTGGGGGGCCCCTGGAAGTGGGACCAGGACTTATCCTGGTGCATGAACTGGCTTCTAGGAGCCCATTACCTATGGCGGGACACCTTGCCCAGCCTGATTCATGGGGGAGGTGCTTGGCCTTGCCTCAGCTTGGAAGCCCAAACTCTGGTGACTCCCCAAGAGACTCCTTATCCCCTCTGAGGAGTAGATGGGGTGAGATGGTGAGAAATGGTGAAGCAGAAGAAGGGTAGAGAGGGGGAACTGGGGTTGGAATATAAAATGAAAAACAACTTTTAATTAAATTTATAAGTAAATGTAGATTAAGTAAATAAACAAATAAATAAATAAATATGCTTGCCTGGCAACCAGCAATATGTTCAGTCTCCAGGAGAGAAGTACCATTCTGAGGCCCTGCATCCAGGCCTGCATTCCAGTACCTAGGGATTGCCTGGGAACTGCACATAGCTTCTCATCCCGGCGGGAGCCAAGCACCCCAGATTCCAGGTCTTCTCTTCCACCAAGGAGACCAGGAAACCAGTGGATGCAGATAAACAAGCCCCCCCCATCCCAGCTTGCCTTCCAGTGACTGGGGATGGCCACAGAGCTTCCCACCCCGGCTGGAGCCAGACACCCCAGTTCCCAGTTCTTCTCTTCCACCAAGGAGACCAGGGGACCATCTGGTCCAGCAGAACCAGGTAAAACAGGCCCTGCATCCAGGCCTGCATTCCAGTGCCTGGGGACTGCCTGGGAACTGCCACAGAGCTTCCCATCCTGGCGGGAGCCACATACCCCAGATCCCAAGTCTTCTCTTCCACCAAAGGGACCAGGGAACCAGGTGGGAGGTTAAGCACCCCAGGTTTCTGGTCTCCTGAACATAACACCAGTAGCACAGACAATGAGATCGACAATTAACAAATGGGACCTCCTGAAACTGAGAAGCTTCTGTAAGGCAAAGGACACAGTCAGCAAGACAAAAAGGCAGCCCACAGAATGGGAAAAAATATTCACTAACCCCACATCTGACAGAGGGTTGATCTCCAAAATTTACAAAGAACTCAAGAAGCAAGTCTCTAAAACACCTAAGGATCCAATTAAAAAGTGGGCTACAGAAGTAAATAGAGAATTTCAAAATGGCTGAGAGGCACTTGAGATAGTGTTCACCATCCTTAGCCATCCAGGAAATGCAAATCAAAACAACTCTGAGATACCATCTCACTCCTGTCAGAATGGCTAAAATTAAAAACACCAACGACAATTTATGCTGGAGAGGATGTGGTGAAAGGGGAACACTCCTCCACTGCTGGTGGGAGTTTCAACTTGTACAGCCACTTTGGAAATCAGTATGGAGATTCCTCAGGAAAATGGGAATAAACCTACCACAAGACCCAGCAACTCCACTCTTAGGCATATATCCAAAAGATGCCCATTCATACAACAAGAATGCCTGTTCCACTATGTTCGTAGCAGCATTATTTGTAATAGCCAGAACTTGGAAGCAACCTAGATGCCCCTCAACCAAAGAGTGGATAGAGAAAATATGGTACATTTACACAATGGAGTACTATTCAGCAAAAAAAAACAATGGAATCCTGAAATTTGCAGGCAAATGGATGGCACTAGAAGAAACCATCCTGAGCGAGGTAACCCAGTCACAAAAATAGAAACATGGCATGTACTCTCTCATATATGGATTTTAGACATAGATCTGGGGAATGCCAGCCTACAACCCCATGGCCAGAGAGTCTGGGAAACAGAAACTTCATTCAGTGGCTGATGGAAGAAGAGGCAGACTCCCAAGGCTAAGCACTGAGCTGAACTCAAGAAATCCAGTGACAGAGAAGGAGGATTGATGACCAAAGGGATTAAGCCTGGGCTGTTTTAACCCCCAGAAACAGCTGACCTGACAAGGGTTAGCTCTTAAATGCCAGACTGATGCCTGGGAATCCAGCATGGGACTGACCAAGACCCCCTAAATGTGGGTGTCAGTGAGGAGGCCTAGGTAATCTATTGAGCCTTGGGCAGTAGATCAGTATTTATCCCGGATATACAAATGGACTTTGGACTCCTATCCAACAATGAGAGATACACTCTTACCCTGAACTCTTGGGGGAGGATCTAGGCCCTGCCCTGGATGAAATGACAGACTATAGACACCCCCGTGGAGGGCCTCACCCTCCCTGGGGAAATGAGGGGATATTGGGGGGGTTGGTGGGAGGGCATGGGAAGAGGGGAGGGAAATGGAGAGGGACCTGGAATTGACATGTGAAGCAACCTTGTTTCTAATTTAAATTTAAATATATATATGCATAGATAGATAGATAGATAAGTAGATAGATAGATAGATAGATAGATAGATAGATAGATAGATAGTACCAGTCTGAGTTCAAAGACTGGCTAGCATCCTGTAGAACTTTATCTTTGTCTGCCCTCTGGTGTCCACAGTGAGCAATGCAAGAGTTGTCACTTTGTGATGTCCTGTGATTGGTCATCAATAAAGTGGATGAAAAATGACTTATCCAAATTAACAAAATCAGAAACAAAAACGGGGACATAACAAAAGACACTGAGAAAATCCATAGAATCATCAGGTTATACTTCAAAAACCAGTACTTGACAAAAATTGGAAAACCTTAAGGAGATGGACAATTTTCTAGATAAGTACCACATACCAAAATTAAACCAAGAACAGATAAACAATTTAAATATACCTGTAACCCCTAAGGAAGCGGAAAAAGTTATCAATAGTCTCCCAACCAAAAAAAATCCCAGGCCCAAATGGTTGCAGTACAGATTTTTACCAAATGCTTAAAGAAGATCTAATACCAATACTCATCAAATTATTCTACACAATAAAAACAGAAGGAACATTGCCAAACTGTTTTTATGAGGCTACAGTTACCCTGACACCCAAACCACACAAAGACACAACTAAAAAGAGAATTACAGACCAGTTTCCCTCATGAACATAGATGCAAAAATACTCAACAAAATACTGAAAAACCGAATTCAAGAACACATCAGAAAATCATCCTCCATGACCAAGTAGGATTCATCCCAAAGATGCATGAATGGTTCAACATATGAAAATCCATCAATGCAATCCACCATGTAAACAAACTGAAAAAATTGTATGATCGTCTCATCATATGCTGAAAAAGCCTCTGACAAAATTCAACACCCCTTCATGATAAAGGTCTTGGAGAGAATAGAATTGCAAGGAACATACCTAAACATAACAAAGGCAATATACAATAATCCAACAGTCAACACAAAACTGAATGGAAAGAAATTCCACTGAAATCAGGAACAAGACAAGGCTGTTCACTCTATCCATATCTATTCAACATAGTACTTGGAAGTCCTAGATAGAGCAATAAGACAACAAAAGGAGACCAAAGGGATACAAATTGGAAAAGAAGTCAAATTCTCGTTATTTGCTGATGATATGATAGTTTATATAAGTAATCCGAAAAATTCCACCAGGGAACTCCTAAAAGTGATAAATACCTTCGGTAATGTAGCAGGATACAAGATTAACTCAAAAAAAAGTAGCTCTCCTATATACAGATGATAAACAAGCTGAGAAAGAAATCAAAGAAACATCACCCTTCACAATAGCCACAAATAACATAAAATATCTTGGGATAACTCTAACCAAACAAGTGAAAGACCTGCATGACAAGAACTTCAAGTCTTTAAAGAAAGAAATTAAAGAAGACATCAGAAAATGGAAAGATCTCCCATGCTCTTGGATAGATAGAATCAACATAGTTAAAATGGCAATCCTACCAGAAGTAATCTACAGATTCAGTGCAATCCCCATCGAAATCCCAGCACAATTCTTCACAGATCTGGGAAGAACAATATTCAACTTCATATGGAAAAACAAAAAAAAATCCAGCATATCCAAGACAATCCTGTACAATACAGGATAATCTGGAGGCATCACCACCCCCAACTTCAAGCTCTACTATAGTGCTATGGTAATGAAAACAGTTTGGTATTGGCATAAAAACAGACAGGTGGATCAATAGAATAGAATCAGATATGCTGATATCAACCCACACACTTATAAACACTTAACTTTTTACAAAGAAGCTAAAATATAAAATGGAAAAAGGAAAGCTTGTTCAACAAATGGTGCTGGTATAACTAGCTATCAACATGTAGAAGAATGCAAATAGATCCATATCTGTCGCCATACACAAAACTCAAGGCCAAATGGATCAAAGACCTCAATATAAATCCATCCACACTGAGCTTCATAGAAGAGAAAGTGGGGAATATATTTGAATGCATACACAAGGAGATCACTTCCTAAATATCACAGACACTGAGAGCAACAATTAATAAACGGGACTCTTGAAACTGAGAAGCTTCTGTAAAACAAGAACATGATAACAAGACAAAATGACTCTCTACAGAATGGGAAAAGTTCTTCACCAACCCCACATCTGACATAGGATTGATCTCCAAAATATACAAAGAATTCAAGAAATCAGACATCAAACTACCAAATAATGAGAATCCACTTATGCTGATACAGGAAGTTGTGCCATGCTGTGAGGCAAAGTGAGCTTTGTGTCTGGTAGTGAAAAAGCGCAGCTCCAGAAGGGCACAAATCCGTGACCACATTGTGAAAACATAAGCATAAGTGCTCACTCCTGTAAATCCTGGACATTCATATAAGACCCTGCCAACCCGATCGTCCCTGAGAAACCAAGCCTGAATGGGACAGAGAGGATGGGACCCAACTCTGTCCTCTAGTGGTTGTAAATGATTCTGAGCCCAGGAGTCAGATCCAAACCGGAAACAGGATTGAGTCAGGCTGAAGTTTCTGCCTGCTACTGGGAGGAGCTGAGGAATACAGTGAGTGCTGCTTCCTCAGGGCAGATCAGATTCAAGTGGCCTGGTGGGAGGTCACCAGGGTCCACATTAGGATGCCCCGGGGTGAGAGACACATACCCTGGACATAGTACCATCCTGGCTCAGCTGCTAATAGGGCCTAAAGACTGCCTAACACATGCCTTGGAAGCCAAGCCATTCTTTTGCCCCAACTCCAGGTCGAGTGCATGGGGAACAGAACACAGGGGGCCTCCTAATGCAGGCGTGCGGCTAGGAGTTTCTGTATCCCCCTGGACAAGGAACCTTGCTGGGAGCGCTTTTCATCAGTCAATGCTGGAGAGTACATTCGGAAGCAATGCCAGAGGGACGGTATTATTGCCGTCATTATCCTATGGTAAGTAACAGCTCCAACCACTTCCACAGCCACTCGCAGAGAATGAAAATGTCCCAACCCAACCCTCATCCACCCAGAGGTTTCTAACCTCCAAGTTCAGCACTCCTCAGAGCTCCTTATGCCTGACTGGATCCTATATTGGCTATCCTCAGAAATTTCTGACTCTCCTCATGCTACAGGAGACCGTGGGTCCCTAAATGCTTTTGACAGTTCACAGGGTGGGTACACTGCTCCCAGTCCTCAACCCTTCACTAGCTTCTCTCAATGGTGTATCCTCACTCTCAGTCTCTACACAATTGTGTAGTTCTAATCAAGTCGCTGTCCCCTGCCAGGGTCTCCTCCTGTACTAGGAAGAGGAGAATCAAGGGCCCACACACCATAGAATATAAACAGCCAGAAATTCTGTCTGGCCACGTTTTCTTCAGTGTCTTGGTTTGTGTCTGTGCTGCCGTGAGGCATGCCGTGCTTCGCAGACAGGCGACAGCAGACTGCAGTGTGCCTCTGCCCAACAAGCAGGGGTAGCCTCCTCCAAGAGGGAATGGAACCCCTGTGAGACACCAGGAACCTTTGTCTTCAGTCTTGAGTCACTGTGTTAACCTCCCCTGTAATCGCATTCCCATTGTGGAGTTGTGGTTGAAGGAGAGTGCAGAAAGGTTTAACTGGTACATGCTTGGCCCCAGATGGAGAACAGGGTAGGGCCGACCTTCAGGCAATTGGATCTGGATGAGGAGAACTGCACAGAGAGTGAGGGCGGGGGGGGCTGGGGGGGCTTCATTCGAAAAAATCATTTTTGCTCAGGACTAATAGCTTACGGGGTCCGCCTTCAAATATACACCATCTTCTCTATTTTAGTTCCTGTTCTGAAAGGCTATGTCGGCCCTCCTCAACTCATACGTGAATGTGACGTTTTTCAATGACACCTTTCCCCTATAGGCCTTTCTTCCCCGGTAGAATTCAAATTTATGATCGATCGCTTGTCTACATAAAAAGCATGTAATTAGCGCCTGCCGATCCCTGCTCAGGGAAACCAGCGTGTGGATCTATGGTTCCGAGATAGCCTGAGAGCGAGCTTGAGCATCCGCATGTCCTTTCCGCCTAGCCTCCTGAAGGGGGTGGTAGAGGTTCAAACTCAAGGGGCATTTGTCAAACGGAATTAGCTTCAGCACTCCAGATCCCAGCAGGATCGCACGGCCAAGAGCCGCGGGAGTCTCTTCTGATGCCCTGGCTAGAGCTACCAGCATTTTTCCGGCTCAGAGTAGCAGGCACGACAAACACACTGCTTCTTGCAAACTACCCGTCGAATCCCGGGAGCCTGGTATGTCCTTTGCGCGACCCCGTAGCCACACCACGCCCTCTACTCATTCCCAGGAAGTGCGCCGTAGCAGCGGAAGTACACACCACCCGGGGGTTGTGGGAACCGCAGTTCCGGGATGGTGGGCGGCGGCGGTGGTGGCCGCGCTGGGCTTCTAGAGAACGCCAACCCCCTCATCTATGAACGCTCCGGGGAGCGGCCAGTGACGGCGGGCGAGGAAGACGAGGAGGTGCCCGACAGCATCGATGCCCGCGAGATCTTCGATATCCGCCGCAGCTGGGAGCTGGCGGGACGGTGGGGGCCTGGGGTACCGGGAAGAAGTGATGTGCAACGCGGTGGTTGGAGGGGTGTCCCGGTTAGGCATGCCCGCAGAGCTTTTGAGTGGGCCAAAACCTAGACTTCCCTTTCCTTCACTTGGCACATCTTATTCGCTCCATTAATGACCCGGAGCATCCACTGACGCTAGAGGAATTAAACGTCGTAGAACAAGTTCGGATTCAGGTGAGTCAAGAGTGTGATAGCCTGTCCAGAGTAGTTTAAAAGGTTCCCTAATACGGTAGAGGCTGGCGTTCTCCATTCATAAGCACCTCAGAGGAACTTTGGGCGGGAGGTTGTTTTTTTCCAGATTATGGATGTTAACAGCTGAAGTCCATAAAAGTTAGGTCACTTGCCCAAATCAATAAACTAAAGAGAGGGTTTCGGTGCTCCGGGCGGCCGTGTGATCTTTATAATCTCCCCTGTCGACACAGGTTAGCGACCCCGAGAGCACGGTGGCGGTGGCTTTCACGCCCACCATTCCACACTGCAGCATGGCCACGCTTATAGGCCTTTCTATCAAAGTCAAGCTTCTTCGATCCCTTCCCCAGCGGTTCAAGGTCAGTTGGAGTCCAGCCTAAGGGTGAAACAACTACTGAGGAGAGAGAGAGAGAGGGGGGACATCAGAGTGGAGCCTGGAAGGACCCCAGCTCGCAGAGACCAACTGCGAGGAAACGCCAAGCTGATTTGACAAGGATACTGGAAATACTCCAGAAGATAGTGAGGAATGTGGTAGGAAGGGCAGATGAAGATGGGCTTGATTGATGGAGGCACTGGCAGACCTGTACATCAGGAGCAGCTGGCAAGGGCCTTGGGTAGAAGTAGATTGGCTGCAGGTGGACTTGGGGTGGGACGGAAGTGCCGGGATCGAGAGGCGTGATTGGAAGGGAGGGTGGTGTGGAGGTGGCGTCCGGAGGGAAGGGACCAAAAAGGGATGAATAAGTGCTCAGGCCCAGGTTGTCTTCCTCCCAGATGGATGTGCACATTACACCCGGGACCCACGCCTCGGAGCATGCAGGTTCGTGTGAGCTGGTGGGGAGGTTAATTTTTGCCCCCCCCTTGGGCCCCAAACTGTGTGAGACTTCCCCTTTGCCACAGTAGTTTATAAGGAAGAGTATGGCTAGGGGGTCTAAGTGAATAAAAAATTAATCAGGCTACAGCGTAGACCTGACCTAAGTCTCCTACTTCCCATGAGCTTCCCTCCCATGTTCTCCCAGGACATGTGTCAGTCTTCCAGGGATACTAGGAGGCAGCTAAGCAGTCCCTGGAGGTCTGGGGTGTTCTTGAAAAATAAGAATATGGCACAGTTGATAAGGAGTCCTGGGAAGGTGGTAGGAGATGGTTATTGTAGAGACCCAGTCTGAACTGAGGCTCCCAGCCTGCCTAAAGTTGCCTTAACCCTATTTTTATACCCTTTCCTACCTAGTGAACAAACAGCTTGCAGATAAGGAGCGAGTGGCAGCTGCCCTGGAGAATACCCACCTGCTAGAGGTCGTTAATCAGTGTCTGTCAGCCCGATCATGAACCTGGCTTTTGACCACCAGCCTGCACACAGGTGTCCTGGCCTCAGCTCCACCAAGGGCTTGTGGCTTTGTTTTCTTGAATCACTGACAATGAGAAACTAACCTTTTTCATTTTGTAATAAACCCTTAATTTATATTCATTTCCCAGCATGCCTTTAGCATCTTTCATGATGGAGTCGTTTGGGGTTGTGGAGGGGATAATAGTGCCTATGAAGGATGGGTCCATGAGGTGCCCCATCATTTTGATTTCTCCCAATGGGGCTGGAAAGGTGTCTCAGCAGTTAAAAACACTTACTGCTCTTGCAGAGGACCTGTAACTTCAGTTTCAGGGGATCCAGTGGCCTCTTCTGGCCTCTAGAGACACCAGGCACACATGTGGAACACATACACACATTCAGACAAACACTCATACACATAAATAAATCAGTAAGCTGGGCGTGGTGGTGCACCCTTTTAGTCCCAACACTCAGGAGACTGAGGCAAGCAGATATCTGATTTTTGAAGCCAGCCTGGTCTACATACACAGAGTTTCAGGATAGCTAAAGCTGTAAAGAGAGACCCTGCCTCAAAAAATGAAAATAAGTTTTTTTTAGCTCTCCTAGTGCTTCAGTTAGCAAAAGTTGCAAATGTTAAAAAAACAACTTTTTTTTTGAAGGAATATATAAATATACCTGAATAGTCAAACCACCAATGGGTTCAACTCAGTGGACTCAGTTAACCTGTTGTGACACTGGCCTTATTTGTGTGTGTTTATAGAACTATCTCTAGAGGAACCTACAGAGACATAAAGAACTGTGTCCTAAATTGAAGTCTGCTCTCTTAGTTTCTGTCCTGTTGCTGTTGTAAGGCCCCGTGAGTAAGGCAACTTATAAAAGAAATGTGCATTTTAAGGCGTACAGTTTCAGAGGGCTGGAGTCCATGATGGCACTGAAGTGACAGGGCAGCGGGAACAGCTGAGAGCTCACATCTTAATCCACAAGTTGGAGTCAAAAAAGAGAGACTGGACATAATATGAGTCTTTTGAAACCTCAAGGCCTACCCCCAGTGACACACTCCTCCAACTCTTACCAGCTCCACCAACCGGAAACGAAGTATTCAAATATATGAGCCTAGAAGGGCCATTCTCATTCACACCACACCCGTGTAACACAGTTCTTACCAGCCAAAAGTGAGCCATTCTGATGTGAGAATAGTAGTGCATGCCTGTAATTCCAGGTCATCCTTAGCTGAGTAGTGAGTGTAAGGTCAGCTTTCATGAGACTGTCTCAAACCAAAACAAAAAACTAATATCCAGTATCCAGTCATAGCACTATCCAGAAACAGCACTTAGTTCCTTCCCAAAGTCTGTATGTTGTGTTTGGTTCTCTCTAGCTCCTAAGATTTTCTCTCTCCTTCCCACTGGTAGTTAGTTTTCCATAACTCCATACATGAAGTAACTTACAAAGGAAGCAAGTTGGGAGGCTGGGGAGATGGCCAGCAGTTAAGAACATGTACTGCTGTTCTAGAAGACCTGAGTTTGGTTCCCAGCACCCATATCAGATAGCACAGGGCCACCTGTAACTCCAGTTCCAGAGGATCCAACACCCTCTTCTTGCCTCTACAGGTACTCACACACACACACACACACACACACACACACACACACACACACACACACAAGATAAATTGTTTTATTTTGATTTGCTTTTTTTAGAAGAGGGCTGCAGAGATGACTCAGCAGTTTAAAGTACTTGTTCCTCTTGGAAAGGACCAAAGTTTGATTACTAGCATCCACATGGTATCTCACGAGCATCCTTAACTCCAGTTCCAGGGGACCTGATGCCCTCCTCTGGATTCTACAGACACCAGGCATGCCTGTGATGCTGGCAAAATTCATAAAATAAATCTTTTCTTAAAATCTTTAAAAATATATTCATTTTGGCTTACTGCTTTGGAGGTTTTGGTCCATTGTAATTGTTGCTGCTGTTTTGGGGCCTGTGGTGAAGTAGCACTTTGCTACAGAGTATATAGCAGAGAAAAAAGGATTAAGACCAGCCAGGGTTACAGTCCATGCTTCAAGTGCATGTTCCTGAAGAGCTCCCAGTAGACACAACCTCCACCTCCCTGTGGCTCCACTTGGAAGAATAAGCCTTTGACATTTTAGGAATGTTTTCAAATCCAGGCTATAGCCCCTACCCTTGTACATCTTAATTCTGGCCTAACCAAAAAATAAAAATAAAAATCCAGGAGAATTACTTTAGAGGAGTCCCACCATGTGATGGTTCCTTGTTAGTCTAAAGGCCCAAATGAGCTCAGGTTTGAGGGGTTTGCCCAGGAGCAGTGTGTGTGCTGTGACACTTAACCTGTAGGTAGGATACCTATTTGCCCACTGATGCTGATGCTTAGCCTAGTCCCCAGGTCAAAATAGTTATACTCATTTTCTCTACTGAAAGGATCCTGGAGAGTTCACCATCGCCCTTCCAGGAGTTTGTGTCACCCCAGGTGCTGGGTAAGCAAAGTGAAGCTCTATAAAATGATACAGCTGTGTCTGGGGCCTCTGCCTCCCGATGGCCCTGTGCCCAGAGTGCACTTAGTCTGTCATCTCAGGAGAGACCACTCACTGGTCTTAGATCTTAGCCATCTGGAAGCTCTTTCCCAGGACTGCCTCAGGATTTTCTGCTTCAGTCTCTTTCTCTGATGGGATACCCTACTGGAGCCCAGACATAACTATGGGCTGTGTCCTAATGGATCCTCATCAGAGAGCCTGAGCCCTTGAGATCTGTTGAATTGTTTGCTTCTTCAGATGTTGGCTTCTTGAGTCAAGGTCTCACTGTCTGTGTGGCCTAGGCTGACTTTGAACTCACTATATAGCCCAGGCTGCCTCAGACTTAGTCCTGAGTGCTGGGATTGTACACCTGCGCCACCATGTCCAGCTCGGCAAATCACCTTGCTCAGTATGGTGGTTGCTTTTCTTCCTTATCTACACTTTGCAGGTGAGGAGTGATCTAGGAGAATATCTTAAAGACTTCCAGCTACAGATAAAATACTGCACTCTTGGCAGGAATTGCTGGTGCCTCCAATAGAAAGGCCTAGGCCCATCCCAGAGCACAGCCCATCCTACGTTCTCGGTTCATTCTTGGGAGGGGTGGCTTTGCCATCCCGATGACTGAAAAGAGGATGTGACTACCCAAGACCAAGATGATGAAGTCGGGACTGCTCTGTGCACATGTAAACTCTCCCTTGGCCTATTCCAATGATCTTCCAGACACTTTGGTCCTCCATTTTCACAAGTGAAAGAACTGAGTGTTTCATAGAGATGGGGTGACCCACCAGGGTGATTAGGCCCAAAGATCCTTCCCAAGCTGTGGGCCTTACCACATGTGAACATCAGCATGGCAAGCCACATCTGTCTGGAGTGGCCATGGTAAGAATTCAGCCATATTCAGAGTAGGCAGGTGCTTTTGAGTCATTCTGACTGGCTTTCCTAGTGGCCAGGCCACTGGAGTGAAAGATATTAAGCTGCTAACATTTCAGTCCCTTTGACCTTTTTTTTTAATGTGTGTGTGTGTGTGTGTGTGTGTGTGTGTGTGTGTGTGTGTGTGTGTGTGTGTGCTGGGAATTGAACCCAGGTTCTTTGGAAGAACAGCCAGTACTCTTAACGACTGAGCCATCTTTCCTGCCCCACTTTGACATTCCTGACTCATCTGTGCCTGGCCACTGGCTGTCTGTAAGACACCACCTGTGAATACTGGACTAGCTCCCAATGAACTTTCTGGAACCCCAGCTGTGCAAGGATGGCACAGTAGTGACTGGAGGAGAATGAAGTTAAAGATCTCTGAGACCTTCCACCACATACATCTAACTGCTATTCCTGGACTGTGAGCCCTCGAGCCTCGGTTACTATGTCTACACAATGGGAATAACAAATCACAGCTAAATGAGATTGCCTTGGAGATTAGATGACACACAGGAACACACTCAGCTACATTTATTTTCTCCCATCATCCAGCCCTTGACAAAAGGGTCTGGCACACAGTTGCTTAGCATGGCTCAGTGAAGTAAATGGAGAAAGTCACAGCACAGCAGAGGCCCTGAAGCAAGAGGGCTGTGGGGTAATGGGGCTGGGGATGCTGATGGACAGCTATATTAGTTACTTTTCTCATTGCTGTGACAAAATACATGACAAGAAACAACTGAGGGAAGGAAGGGCTTGTTTTGACTTGCAGTTTGAGGATCTATGCCTTGGTAAGGAAGTCATGGCTTCAAGCATGTGAGGCAGCTGGGTACGTTGCACCAATATTGATGAATGCTGGTACTCAGGCTGCTTTCTCCTTTTTGTAGTCCTGGGTCCCAGTCCACGAAATGATGCTACCCGAATTCAAGATGGGTCTTCTCTTCATTCAATTAATCCTTTCTGAAAACACCTATAGACATGCCCAGAAGTTTCCATGACAAATCCTAAATATAGTCAAACTAACAATGGAGATGACCCTCAGATCAAGTGCTCTTCTCAACATTTAGTCACCTGAGGGAGAGGGAAGAGTCCCACAGAGAAGAGGTGGGATTAGGTAACAGAGGAGAGTTATCTGCTGCATTGCTCCTGGGATCTCTGACCTTCCTCGGGACAGAACATCATCCTAGAGATATCAAAGCAGAAGCAAGAGACAGTCTAGGGAGTCACTCAACCTGCCCCATCCAACCAAGGTTGATGAGACTGTAAATGTGCTAAGATATGCCACTTTTGAGCAAATATGTGATTGCATATTGAGCCAGTGACCTTATCTACATTATCCTTGGTCTACATAGTAGGAAACAGTCTCATCTGTGACAAATGAACAAAGGTGAAACTGCTAACAAGGAACAAAGCTGGTTCCAACCTCAGTTTGTTTCTTCTGGACAGCTGAGAGAGCGGACAGGACCAGATGGCAGGAGTGTAGCAGGAAATTATATAAAGGTCATGTCCTGATATTGGATCATGGGGCTCCTGGCTATACCTAGGCTTGTGATGATCATCTCTGGTCTGTTGGCAGAGCCCCAGGAATGCCTGGGGTCTGAGTGGCTCTGTGTGGATGTCGTTGCCTTGGCAAAGAAGATACACTGTTGAGGTCAAAAGCTCAGATTACCAGAGGGGAAAGCCAGCCCTGTTTCCCTGTATGGCCCC